GCGGCTGGGGGTCTATAGGAGGCTACGCGTGACAACAGACAGCAGCTGTGAGCGCACATTCATAGTGTAAATGGCATTAAGATGAGCAGGTGTAATTGTAGATCATCTACCCAGAGGAGGTGGTAGCAGCGGAGCAGCAAGATACTATGACATTTGGCTCCAAATGTATTGCAGCTGTTACTGAATACTGCGATGTTGTAAAGATGGTGGGAACTGAGAGGGGGCGACGCACGGTGGGAGGTGGCTGCTGGCTCTAGTACCCGCTCTCTGAGAAAGGCAGCATGAGCCAGGAAAGGATACTTGGGAAGGTAGAGAGTAAGTCTGGGAAGGAAGCCGGCTCGAGCAGCAATGGGATGAGGTGAAGCTGCAGAAGATGAAGCTGCAAATCATGAAAATCACCAGGAAAATCCCCAGCCTGTTTCTTCACATATAAAATCTCATAGCTGGAGCCTGCAGAGATACTCCAGTTCTTGAATTTTGCTTCAGCACTTTATTTACCACTCGCTGTCAGTCGGCGCTTTAGGAGTTTAAATGCCACTGTGGATCTGGCCCATAGCTTCAGACAGGAGGGACATGCAGGAAAGGTCATAACAGGAGGGGAAGGAGGACAGGTCCTTTCCGTCTCCGACTTCTCAGGTAGTTCAGCATCCAACCCTTGGTGGGGTCCCATAATTAGTGCCCTGGGTGGGCAGATGCTGCCCAACCCTAGCGGGGATGCTCCTGCCAGCCTCTCAGCGCAGCAGCCTGCGGTGGCTTCCCCCGGCTCTGGAGTGAGCCCCGGGGGGCTTTGCACCAGCCACCCCTCCGGCCAGCCGGTCCGCACAGGTCGCTGCAGCGGCCGTGCCCTTCTGTGTGTCCCGCTGCTCCCGGGCCGGGCAGAAAGCGTGTCGTCAGCAGGCAGGGTTCACAGCGAGACGGGCAGTGAGAGGCTCGGCTTGATTAATTAAATAGAAATTGGAAGGGAAAACAGCACTACGTCTCTCTGTGCCAAAGGAAAAGGCCGGCACCTGCTCTGCCCTTTTTGGTAATTGATCTTTAGCGGGAGTGAGAGGAATGAGAGGAGACTTAGAGTTGAAAGAAAGGGGCTTTGCAGCAAGTGCCCCGCTTCCTCTCCAGGTGATCTTCTGTGAGAGCATAACAGCAATTTTTCTCATCAAAATCGAGTGCTCACAGCAGCGGTTCCCGTGGCTCCTCTCTGATCTCTAGTAGCTTTTGCTTCTCTGGGGTATTTTCTGCCCTGGTGGGTGTCAGGCCGGGCCATACTCAAGTGAGAAGCCTCCCTGGGCAGTTTGCTGTCTCCTGTGCTGGCAGCCTCTCTGGGTTTGGGCAAAGGTCCTGGGTTTTACCCACCTGCCCCTGACCGCAGCAGCGCTGCTGGGAGGAGCTCACTTAGAGGGAGGCGCACGTTTTGGTCCAGCATGGCCCCACAGCTGACTTTTCTGGAGCCCCTTTTTGCTGGGAGAGGTGGCAGAGCTGCTTGCGATGAGCGGCGGGGCTGCTCTGCTGGCACGCTCTTGCTGACAGCTGGAGCTGGGGAAGGCACATCCATGTGTCTGACAGGGGAAGGCTGTCCCCGATGTCCACTACCTCCCCTGGTCCTGCCTGCTCCTCTCTTGTGGCCTTTGAAATGGGGGCAAAGTCTCCAGTTAAAATACCCGGGAGTATTTTTAGTTTTCCCTTTGGCAGAGTTCACTTCTGGGTCCCTCCTGGACTTCAGCAGGCTGGCTGATATTCCTGCTCTACCGAGCAGCTGAAGTTAAGAACCAAGTCTCTTATTTTTTCCAGTGTGATCAGTTTACCTGTCACAGAAACACAGGATGGCTGAGGTTGGCAGGGACCTCTGGAGGTCATCGGGTCCAACCCCTTGCTCAAGCAGGGCCACCTAGAGCCGGTTGCCCAGGACCAGCTTTTGCATATCTCCAAGGAAGGAGACTATCCTGCCCTGAAGATTTGTGCTTCTTTAGAGCTGGCTCTGGGCTGGGTGCACTTTTAACTGCTGAAGTTGGAAGATAGCAACTTGCATCTGGTTCCTAAGTACGCCCAAGTCTACTTGGTCTTCGTGTGTGCGGATCTGATGAATTTGCACAGCTTCCTAATTAGGGTGATTGCCTTCCCGTCTCTTCCACTTCTTGCCCTTACGCATTCCTTTAGAGCAGGGCATGTGCACTGTGAAATGCAGACAGCACTTTGTTGATCCCTTGGGAGCGGCCACCTCCCGGTGGCTGTCACTGCCAAACTCCTCACCACTGACGTGAGGCAGTAAGCAGATATTGGGACTTACGGACGTGCAAGTCCTACTATGGAGGAAACCGTCTACCTTTTGGAGAAAATGTGTCTGTTTGCAGTGTGGAGAGGAGAGGAGGAAGTGCAATAGGGTGCAAAGAGAAAAAAGCAGCGTAAGTGGACTTGAGCAGGGAGATTTTGTTCGCAAATTTGAGATGGAGGCAGAGGCAATGTGCAGGGATGTCAAGGGCCATCAGTTGGGATATTTTGGATTGACTGGCCTCAAGAGGGACAGTGATGGGCTCTGAAGTGGATTGCTTGAGTTTTGAAAGAAATGCTTGAAGGAAGGGGAAATGCATGGGCTTTCTTCTGTGCTGTCCTTCTTCCCCATCAGGAGAAGCCGCAGCTCCCTCCAGGTCCACAGGCTTTCTCCCTAACCTGCTGCTGCTGCCGCATCCCTCGGGGAGGTGCCCCATCTGACAGAAGTGGTGTCTCAGCGTAGAAGGGAGGGCCAAGGGGAAACGCAGGCAGTCGGAGGCCCTTTGAAGAGGCAGGTTTGCAGCCTTTCCGCTGCTGGAGGAGAAGGAAAGTCGCCAGCGACGGGTGATGTGTGGTGGGAAGGGGGTCCCTCAAACCAGGAGCAGCAGAGGTGCTGCCGAGGGTGCAGAGCTGCAGGCAGCACCGGAGCTCTCCTCTCCTGAGCTGCTCAGCTCAGGAGATTGCCGGGTAGAATCACAGCGGATGTTCAGGACCGTGTTATGTGGTTTCCGGTTAATAACCACAGCAAACACCTGAGATGGTGACTGTTAGGAAAACCCACGCAGGCTCTGTGGTCTCTCTGAGATAAAAGACACTTGTTCACAGTCTCCAAAGCCATGGGCTGGTTTTGTCACTTATGTGTGAGCCTGCTGACAGAAGCAATGGTAGACGGACATTTTTGCATCAGACAGAGGCCTCTGAGCTCCACCATGGCGGCTGCCTCCATCCCCCATTCCTGCCCCATGGTCCCCCAGGCGCTTCCTCCACTACTCCCCTGCCCAGTAGCACCCAGTGATTCCCCACGAAAGTTCAAATAAGGGTGTGTGGATTTGCTCTTTCACTGCTTCCCCCACCCCCGATTAGCGCTCCTGCTCCAGTATCCCCTAATGGGTCTTCGTCCTCTGAGCACCCTCTTCGTCTCTCCTCTTTTGGCGGGTCTCTCAGGCCAGCCTCATTCCTCTCCTTGCCAGCATCCCTGTGTTGGCAGCTGCAGCCAGCGTGATTATTTTCTTTCCCCATTTTAGAAAGCAGGCTTCAGGTATCTACGAAAGAGAGCTCTGTGGAGATTGCCGGCGGTGCTGACACAGCCATTGAGTGCAGGATCGTGTTTGCCCAGAATAATTCCCAGTTTTCCATTACCTGGTACCTCCTACCTCCTTCTCCGGCAAATGCAACGCCCCTGAAAATCGTAAGGCTCAACTACAGCAGCATACTGGAATACGGGGCTGAGTTCAGCTCTCCTGCACAGAAGTCCCGGTTCCTGAGCCAGAGGGTGTCCAGCAATGTTTTCTGGCTGCGGATACTCTCTGCGAACCCCAGGGACCAGGGCAGGTACTACTGTGTGGTAGAGGAATGGCGCTGGCTGGGGGACAGCTGGTACAAACTTGGAGAAGGAGCTTCGGGAAGGACCACGCTGGAGTTCAAGCTCCCAGGTGAGCGGCGGTTCTCTCCCACATAGGTGCTGCTGGAGGAGGTTGGACCTATTTAAGACGGGGCACCTGCCAGGCCTCTCTTAAGCTGGCAGGGCTTAGGAGAACCAGTGGCTCCAGCGTTGGATCTGAGACTTAGGGATGCAGGAGGTGTCAGTGCCTCTTAAAGGGAAATAGCAAATTAGGAGGATTTACCACATCCTCCCAAACCAACCAAGCTGCTATTTTTGCCACGGGCAGATGATGTCTAATGCTTCATAACAAAGCGAATCATGGCATTTTCTTTTCCCTCCAACACACGGTGCGCTTGGTTGGTTGTACAGTGCTGTGAATAGAGAAATAGTCCTTTCCTGGTATTCCCGACCATCCTAAAGCAAGAGACAAAGTTTTCCCTACCCTGTTGCACATAGCCACAGAGAACAAGGCTGGATGCTCAGCTGCTCCCACCTTGGGCACTGCACCGCTGGGGTGCATGGTGGGTCTCCCTGGCTCAGTTCTTCCCTCTCTCTCAGCATGACCTGGCTTATAGTTGCAGCCCTAAATAAAGTGGACCAGAGAATTCCAGCTTCCTAAATAGCTTTTGGTCCAAAGGATGCCTTATCACGTATTTGGAGGGGTAGGGAAGTATTACAGCAGAAGGTCATGAACAAAGGGCAGAGATGATAGGGGGGTGGAAAAAACACCCCAGGGAGTACATGTCACAGGAGCAAGGGGGCCCGTGCATGTCCTGCCAGAGGCTCTTCCAAGGGGCCATCCCAATCACCCATGGTTCGCTCTGGAAGATTTCCAACAGCCTGCGGGTGCAGACAGGAGCATTTCTACAGTGGCACAACACCGCAACATCTCTTTCTGTTTGCTTCCTGCCCTAGAGCGCGAACTGCACCTGGAGAAAACCAACAGCAGCGTCTTGGCGAGGGAGGGTGAGGAGGTGACACTGCACTGCCTGCTGCGGGGTGCCCGCCCGCCCGCCGCCTGCCTTTCGGCCACCTGGTTTCGGGGGGAGGAGAGTGGCCGCCCTAGGCCCCTGCTCACCCTCCACCGCGATGGTGCCATCGAGTACCCCCGGGAGAGCCAGGCGGGGAGGCTGCACCTCCGCCGCCCCGCCGCCGGCGACT